CAAATCATTCTCTAGCGCACTGACGACCAGGTCGCAGCGACCAGAATTCGATTCAATGTTATTACTGGTCGCAGCTGCGTTTCCTAATAACATTGAATCAAATGCTGGTCGCTGCAACCTGGTTGTCAGTGCGTTTGAGTCCTCAGTCACAAACTAAATTCTTCAGTAGAAAGATATCTGTATCCGCCACTGAATGCCACTTTAGAGCTCAAATCATTCTCTAACGCACTGACGACCAGGTCGCAGCGACCAGAATTCGATTCAATGTTATTACTGGTCGCAGCTGCGTTTCCTAATAACATTGAATCAAATGCTGGTCGCTGCAACCTGGTCGTCAGTGCGTTTGAGTCCTCAGTCACAAACTAAATTCTTCAGTAGAAAGATATCCTCACAAAGGGCTCATTTTAAGAAAACAATTTCGTATTTTTGATTGTTAAGTCCTGTCTACACATAGTGTTTTACATGTTCAGTCAAAACTTATCAAATAAAACAATGTGTGTAAAATTGAGGTTTTATTTGAACCGAATTAAGACTGAATACCGCCTAAAGAACTTACGGGATCATTCAGTTTTACAACAAAACTGTCGTTTTGCGTACATTGCACAAAATATCCATTAACTATATACAAGGACACGTAACGCCCATATACAGCCTGCAGCAGAATTTGTGATGTTAGACGCCATTTTTTAGAGGTAACGAATGACTCGTCAGCGGCAATTTTAGCAATTTTTAATAGTTTGTGTGTAATGCAACAACCAAACCAAACCAAACTTTGAATAAACTTTATTACAAAGGTGATTAGCTATTCAGCTTTAAAGTGTAAAAGCCGCAGCAATAAGAAAGAGCCAGGAGTTACGTTTCATAGGCAAATAAACAGTCCACTCCACCTTTATGGCGTTTTCTTATTGAATTCGATAATTATTTTTCTGATATTATAATTACTTGATATGTGCTGTACGTGGATACTAGTTTCTTTGGTTGTTGTTTGAATTCTTTTGTTAATATTTTAATAGTTTTTTTCGTAATTAATTAGTATGTACCATAGGCGGAGTCAAAACATTTATCAATAATGTAAATATCTCTACAAGCAGCTAAGTTAAGAGAAATATGTGTCTCGGCACTACTTGGAGAAAAGGTAACAATTGTCCTTGTATTCTTTAGTCATTAAAAATATCAGTAAATTTGCAAAAATAATATGGATATATCTCATCTTATTTAATAAGCAACTTTGTATAGTTTTACATAATAATGTTATATTACTATGTTACGATTAAAGTCCGATGTCCGGTTAATGTCGACATTAACAGGTTAATATTTCGTTTTGTTTTTGGTTGTTTTGTTGTTTGTTATTCTCGAGATTAACCGGGTAATATCGATATTAACCGAATATCGGACCTTAACTGTAACAACTAAATACATTGTTTAGAGATATTTAGTGATTATTTCCCTTGTATATAGGATATATAAATAAGGTTATTACAAAACGATACTGTTTTCACAAATAGCTTTGCTTCTTTACAAATGAAGAGCACACGGGGAGCCAATGAGTCTCCAAAAATGATGAATGTGCAGGAAAGCGTTTTTTAATTCAAACTACGCATGGTATTATCGTTTTTCTTATTTTTAAATGCCTGTTTCTATGTGATCGTTATATAGATATTTAAACTCGGTTTAAATATTTTTGATTTTAACTGACAGGCAAAACGGAAGGTTAGTGTATAAGGGGCTTAGTGCTGATTTAAACAAAAAAAAACGAAGTCACATATTTAACCAATCTAAAGTTGCCCATAGACCATCATACAAGTGCGTCGACATGCGTGACTTTCCTACATTGTATAGCTGCACGTCACACATTATTATAATTACTAGAGGGATTTAAAATGGAATATTCCGTAACTTCTCAATTCTAAAGAAGATTAAACTAATTGGTAAAATAATAAGGTCATTTAACTAATAAAAGATCCGTTTTATCTTCTGGCGACTACAAAGGACAACGTATAAAATTAATTTATATCAATAAATATCCGGAAATCAAGAGAACGGACGGCTTGCAGTAAACAAAGTTAATTATCAATATTTGAGACAATAATATAATTAATTCAGAAGCATTTCATAATATCACAAATATCGTTTTCGATTAAAATACGACAGTCCAAAGATATGTAAACAATAAGTCGAAGACAAAATTCAAAGACTTATCCAATATATTGCTCTTTCTCTTTCATTATGAAATGTTTTGGTTTAGTGTTTGGCAAATTAAAATACCCACTATATGTTATTCAAGCCGCTGTTAATTAAGGCAGTGTGTGGCCCGAAACAAAATATCCGATTGGCCGGAAATATGGGCGTGTGATATACGTCATTGTTCTATTTCTGATTTCCGACGAGATGGATTCAATGCCGAGTTCAGGGCCGGCACCAGGATCCTGATTCTATATCTTTTTAACCATCGCATCGAAGGCATTGAATAAAAACTAAGAACGGAGTGTACTAGGTCGCTAAAGTCTGCTTCTTTAGGTGTCAATTTTCGTGTGTACGAAGAGTCACTACTAGGGTTTCCAGTTATAGTTTTTGGGATCGGGACCCCGTTGAAATCCCATGATAAGACTTTATAATCCGGGGATCCCGAGAAGATCCTTCTAAAGAAATATAATAGAACTGTAGCTACATACAGGGTGTCCTATTTAAGATGGATACAAGCCAATATCTTGATTGTTTGTTGGGCGATCTTTTTCATTTTTGCCAGAAGGCTGTATGGCTATAAGACGTACATTTTGCCCAGGGTAAGAAATGCGATACCTCATAGATGTACGTTTTAATCGGGTTTGATATTTTTCAAGTCAAGAGTAAACTACCCTTAGGACAGTATTTATTTCAAATCTGATAAATTATATTGAATCCTCCTTATCCAAGATACTTAAGTCCTAATTTTGATAAATATTGATACAGGGTGTGTTATTAAAATAAGACATTTTTATTTTTATTATTATTTTTTTAAGTACTTACGATGCAACTGGATAAACAACTGGTTTATTATCAATAACGAATAAAAATCATATTTCAGATTCCATTGAAAACTGGGTTTTTAAATTATTTTGTAACTCATTTTATTCATTTGTGTTAGCAAACTTAATTAGCAAAACAATTTTTTAAAGTTAAAGGCCTGGAAGTAAATATATCCATAAATTATGGTTATACTCGTTGAATTTGACACTTTATGCAGCTTTATGTCAGTTTAATAATATATTTTCATACTTTTGTGCTTAGGCGCAAAAATGTTTCACTTTTATGCGTAGGCGTTAAAATGACTTTTTTATATTGCAATCACGTCGCAAAAATTAATACTTTTGTGACGTTTGAAAAAAAAACATTTATATATATTTTATAACATACAGGCTGGGTCAATGGAAACTTTCCACCCCAATTTTTATCGTTTAAAATTAAAATTTGGAAAAACGCTCGAACGCGTCGATTTAGTTTTCGAGGGGGAAAAGAAAATATCATAAAATCACTTTCACACCTATAACCTCCAAGGCGGGGGTGGCGCCACCCCTAAATTCTTAAATGGAAAGGGGGGCCGAGTGATACCTCATGAGAAAGGTCTTTCAATTCTCTTTTTAATGATATAGATATCATGTACTTTCGTTCAGTAGTTTTATTGATTTAAAGTAGATTTTAATTTATCAGCTAAGTTGTGAAAAAATCGGTTTTTATTTTTTTCTCTCACTGTATGTATTTTTTTGGCAAACTATGTATACTAAAAATTTTAACTAATCAATCTGCATCGATCCACGCCCAAAAATCTTTCAATTCGGAATAAGTGAAAAATGCTCAATTTTGGCCGGGAAAATTTTTAGAAATTTAAAAAAATAAAAAAAAAATTAAGATTTTTTATGGAGGTTATAGGTGTGAAAGTGATATTATGATATTTACTTTTCCCCCTCGAAAACTAAATCGACGTGTCCGGGCGTTATCCAAATTTTAATTTTCAACGAGAAAAATTGGGGTGAAAAGTTTCCATTGACCCACCCTGTATATAAATAACATAATTAAATTTGGATGAAAGGAATATTGCTGGTTGCTGTAGATAATTTTTTCAAGGAAAATATGTAAAAAAGGACTTTTTAGGTTAAAAAAGGACTTTTTAAATCAAAAAAAGTCAAAAGGACAATTTGTTCCAAGAAAGGACTATCCTTTTCAAAAAAGGACAGGTGGCAACCCTAGATGCTCTTTCTACATAGAAAATCTTCAAACAAATAGTATTTTTACTAATTTGATGCCAATAAAACTTTCTCGAAAACTTCGAAGAAAAATTGATACTTGTCTGAAAATTTTTATATATTATGTATTTTATTATATTATATTGAATCACCACTTCTTTTTATAATAATTTATACAACGGTCGGAAAAAAACGCTATTTGTAATGTAATAAATTAAAACAATAATTAATTAATTTCTTATATCATATAAACGTGAAAAAAATGACAGATCCCAAGAGTCTTGCATGTTTGGTCTTGCGGAAGTCTTGTACTACTAGGTACTGCTCTTTGCTTTTTAAGCAAGACCAAGACCAGTCACGCTTATCACTAGATATAAAAAGGATGTTGTGCAGAATGAGTACAGGGTTTGAAAACAAGTGATATATAAAAGATAAAGTCTTAGTTAAAACAAAGTAATGAACATAAAAAAATCTTGCACGTTGTATCGAAATGACTGAGGCCGGCCCTGACTCTCCGATTTTTTTCTGGGAAAGAATTAGTTTTCGAATTACAAAGAGTTTTCGTATAAACCGACGTTATAGATAGATAATCGAATGTTTCTTGTGCGTTACGGAAATTCAGCCAATTGAGAGATAAGTATTAAAATACTGTAATGGGAAGCTGCGATTTCGATAATACGAAAAATAAATAGGGAAGGTCGGCAGATGATCGGCGATTAAAAGTTAACAGACTACGCATGCGTAACAGTTATAATTTTCCTAATTCACGTTTTCAGGCAAATGCTAAAGCAAAAAGCTCGTTCACTCGTTCAGTTTTGCCAGCGCACTAGTATTGGTGGTAGCCTGTGTTGTGGTCGTTTTCATTCTACAAGTTACGCACGACTGTATTATCTATCGTCATTTTCCCTCCAAATTTTGTAAAGTCAATTAACATCTAAAAAACGCGCCAAAAATATTTAGTGTCTGGAGAAAATCCCGTGCCAGCAGGTACTAATAGAGTTTTATTCATTACTAAGGAGGAATAAATTCAGGTAAGGACCAATTTTGATTTAAATAATTTATTTATTTTTTAGTAGCTTTGTTTGCGTGCTTTGAATTTAAAAAAAAATATTTAAATTTCAAATGATTTGTATCAGTTTATATCCGTATAATATTACAGTTTTGGCGTGGTTTTTGTTTTTAGAGAGGATAATACATTTTTTGAATAGAATTTTTTAAATGCTTCACATGGTTGTATGTCAAACTTGAGAATTTTATAAATTAATTATCTTATCCGGGAAACGTTTTTTTGCCCTATAAATATTTTTTTTGGGACAACAGTTATTTTTATTCACGAGGTTGAAAATTATTGAATTACTAATATCCCCCTTAAAAAATAGGGGTTGATGGTAGAAGGTTGAAAATTTAGGGTTGTATGTATTTTTTGTTTAAATAATTTATTTGATTTTTTAGTAGCTTTGTTTGCCTGGTGTCAATTTATATCCGTATAATATTACAGTTTTGGCGTGATTTTTGTTTTTGGAGAGGATAATACATTTTTTGAATATACTTTTTTTAAATGCTTCACATGGTTGTATGTCAACCTTGAGAATTTTATAAATTAATTAGCTTACCCGGCAAACGTTGTTTCGCCCTATAAATATTTTTTTTGGGACAACAGTTATTTTTATTCACGAGGTTGAAAATTATTGAATTACTAATATCCCTATTAAAAATAGGAGTTGATGGTAGAAGGGTGAAAATTTAGGGTTGTATGTATTTTTAATGCCACATCATAAAAAAATAAAAAATGTCCAAAAATAAAAAATGGGGTGAACCACCCTTATCACTTAGGGGTGTCAAAAATAGATAACAATCTATTCTCAGACCTACTCAATATACAATATAAAATTTAATCAAAATCGGTCAAGCCGTTTCGGGGGAGTATGGTAACTAAAACCGTGACACAATAATTTTATATACTATTAGATTATAATTTGTGAATTATTTATTTTTTAATATGTTTAATTGGAGTGAATCATTTCTTTAAAGAGTTAAAAAACGTTTTATACCTACAGGGTGTAAATAAACAAGTGCGAAAAAATTTAGGAAGTGAATACTATTTTAAAAATATATTATCGGTGTTAACTGATTAAATATCTAAATTAGATATAAAAATAAAGGGGATTGTAGAATGCTTATGTTTAGATATGTCATGTCATATAGAAGTTGTTAAACAACTATTATAGGTACTCCACTTGTGCAAAAAAATCATAGTAAAGTATGATTTTTTTCACACATCCATTAAATTTAAAATATTATTCTCTAATGATAATTTAGATTTTATTGTCTCTAAATATTTTATATATTTTTAAGGTACTCCACTTGTGCAAAAAAATCATAGTAAACTATGATTTTTTTCACACATCCATTAAATTTAAAATATTATTCTCTAATGATAATTTAGATTTTATTGTCTCTAAATATTTTCTTCGTTATAAGCATTTAACAGGAAAAAAGATACAATATTAAACAGGGTGAGTCTTAAATAAGTGCAAATATTTTTAGGGATGGTATATTTTGATCCCAGAAAAATTTGGTATTATTCGAAAAATATTTTGGATTTTTTTTTTAATTTTCGTTAAAAAACATAATATTTTGATATTATAGCAACATAGGTAGTAGATTAAATTTACAAAAAAGAATAAAAAATGGTTCTCAAAATATGAGCAAAAAATAATTTTTATTTTCAAAATTAGATAACTCGGTAATTTTCGACTTACGGTAAAGAGAAAATATATCTCTTTTATCGAGATCGACCAGCCCTGAAATTATTTGCGCTCATTTAAGACTCACCCTGTATAAACAAAAGTATTGGTTCTAGCCTCGGTATTAGCCTAATCTCAATGTAGTAGACATGAAATTAGTCTGTCAATATTTTAATCTAGATTTTATTTAGTAATATATGACATGCACTATTTCTAGATGTATATATTGTGATTTTGGTTCACCTTGTATAAACAAATTTATTAATTGGGATATGCAATTTTTTTCGCTCTAATTTATTTTTATACCCTGTCAGTTATTATTAAATATTTCCCGGGGTTGTTATGCTTTAAACAATTTGATTAAAAACAAGTGTTTTAAACGTGTTTGAAACACCATTCCTTGTCTCTTGTTTCAAATTGTTTTTTTTGTTACGTTGGTAATTAATATTGTCAATATTAAATTGTTTTATTAAAGTTTATATAAAGTGTTTCATAATGACATGCTAATATCTAAGGGGGCGATTCTTGACCCTATTCTAAGAAGAAAACTTTATATGAATGTATGTCCTAAACATATTAACTTTTGAGATACAGGGTAGTAAATTTTTCTAAAATAGCACTTTTTTTCTTAATCACTCTGATGTTATTATAGATATCTTTATGAAACTTGATACACGTCTTCTGTGCAAGTGTCTTTTTTGATGTACAAACAATTTTATATACTTCAACCAGTGGCGTCCATACGGGCGTCATTGAATATCTTGGAAGAAAAAATTGTATGACACTGACTTCTCTTGTAATAAAAATTATTTTCAAAGTCTTTATTCATTTCTAAACAATTTTCATCTTTTGATTTTCTTCGTCCGACCAGTAGTTTTTGCTTAAAAAAATTAAGTCATTTTACTTCAGGGTCATATCAGCTATGAATCTGACGCGGTGGTTGTTGTGAGGAAATCGTTTCCGCATCGGCTGGATGGAAATTAGGAGATATAAAAAAATTAAAATATATATATATATATATATATATATATATATATATATATATATATATATATATATATATATATATATATATACACTCATTGCTCTTCTGACATCCTCCTTCTTTCTTCCAAGTTCTTCTTAGGTCTTCCACGCTTTCTTCGATGTTGGGGTATTCATTGCATAATTTGTTTTGGAAGTCGGGTGTCATCCATTCTCTGGACATGTCTGTACCTCACAAGTTGTTGGCGTTCGATGTCGGTTGTCAAAGATCCCTCTATTCCTATTCTCTGTCGGATTTCTTCGTTTCGGACTCTATCTCTTCGGGAAATTCCTAAAGTTCTTCTATAGGCATTCATTTCTACCGCTTCCAGTTTTCTTCGGTTGGCTTCCGTTATTCGCCAAGTCTCTGCGCCATAGAGTAGACTGCTATTTACCAGGGTCCCGTATATTATATTGATCTTCCGTTTTTCCCCATTTCATTAATCCAAAATACTCCGTTCAGAGAGCCAATTGTTCTTCTTGCTTGTGATATTCGTTTTTTTAATTTCTTTGTCATATTTAGCTGTTGTATCACATAGGTATCACTGCTAGGTAGGTGTAGTCATTGCAGGCATCTATCTTCTCATTCTCCAGATGTATGCTAGATAATTCTGCACCAATAGGTAGATATTTAGATTTCCGTGTGTTTATTTCCAAACCCCATCGTTGAAATTCCTCTTTTAGTTTTCTTGTCATGTACTCTAAATCATTTTTATCGTTGGCCATAATAACTTGATCATCTGCGAACTGCAGGGTGTACAGACAGGTATCTCTCAGATTAATGTCCATTCCATTACATTTTCTCTTCCATTGTCTCAAGGCCTTTGCTCCATATATTTTAAATAATGTGGGAGAAACATAGCATACTTGTCGTAGAGACCTTTATTGACGGAGAATTTTTCAGATAATGTGTTGCCTATTTTGATTTGTGATTTCGAATCTTTGTATACAAGTTTTTCAGAGCTCTAATTAAAATGTAGTTAATGTTGGTGTCCTGTCGTACCTAGGTCAATAAACATGAGGTGTGTCTACAAAAAATTGTACATCAAAAAATTCGTTTTTATGCATAGGAAACGTGTATCAAATTTCGTAAAGATATTTGTAATAACAACAGAGTTAACGCGAAAAAAAGTTTTTTATTATTTTAAAATTATTTTACCACCCTGTATTTCAAAAGTTAAGATGTTTCAAGTTTTTTTTCTTGGTATAGACTTAAGAATCGTCCTCTTAAATATTGGCATGCCATTAAGGAACACCCGGTATATTTGGAAATAACGGAATGAATAATATGTAGATAACTGTGATTAAGTTTATTTGTTCCGCCTGAATGGAAATAATAATCGTAAAAACTAAAATTAATATTTTTTCAATGAAAATTATTTGCAATAAAATATAAAATTAAGGATCTGACCGATTAATTGTTATCGCAATACTGTAATAATTATTTTATAGTCGCTGTTGGTAAAACCTTGATTATAAAGGTCTGCAAAATCAATTTTTTTCTCTAGCCCTAGCACAATTCCTGTTGATTCTTATGTAAAATAACGAACTGGTTCAAAAAATGGCCCCCGTTTTCTTCTACCACCCACCATTTTCGATGAAGCTCCTCTCTATTCGTATCATCATTTAATTTAGAGAAATAAAAATAATTATTTAGCTGCAAAAAAGTATAAATAAAGAGATCTCTACCCAACCAATCCAAATAAAGGTGTTTACTTGCCATTTACCCTGAGGTATAAGTTCTAGTCTCAAAAACCACCAGTACTCCGCCAACATGCTTGCATTCCACTTCCCTGAATATTTTTCCCGAACTGAGTGATGTCTTCACGGAAGCGTTCATCGTGTTCATCTGAGACTGCTCTTAAATCTTCTGGGAAGAAGTCCAGGTATGAGTAAAGCAAATGCACTTTAAGAGACATGCTACATCCCATGGCCTTGAGCGACATAATCATCACTTTCATGGTTACCCAAAAAGTTCTTAACAATGGTTTTATATAACTGAAACTTCTTTACGCGCGATGGGACAAAAAATTGAAGGCCGTGACGGCCATGACACACGAGACACGAGTGGAAAAGTGGTAATGATCTTGGAGCGTCGTAACTCAGGCCCTATGTAAGCTAGGTGGCTGAAACTCTGAATGTAGATTGGGCTGGAAGAGAACAATACTTTCTTTAGTGATGGAATAACTCGAGCGATAATTCGCTCGAGTACTCGATTATTAAAATTAATCGGTTTTTCCCATCACTACTTTTTTTACAGT